ACTGGTTCGATTCTCTCATTGGGATTTCTCAGCCTGTTTCACTCATGGTAGAAACAGCCATGTGCTATAAATTGTACAGATATTATTCGAACTCATGTGATAGCATGGTTGTTGTCTGAGCTGTTCCGTCCAACGCATGGCATTTTGAGTTTCATTCACGGTTAAACACTACCTATCTGCAATGGTATCCACAAAGGTGGTTGCTTCTATACGCATTGATCGAACTTGTGTAGCACGACCCACAATTCGGAAATCGATTTCAGTTTCCAGTACCACACCTATATATCGGTAACCATAAGTGAAGAGCAATTATTCCGAAGCTTATCGTCCACTTCAGTGCTCTTAGTACTCTTGCATCACCGCTTGAATTGGCGCCATCTGTAGCGTCGTGATAAAATCTGTAATAATTCGAAAGTTACAGCTCAGAATTGAAAAGAATATATATATATATGTTTATGACCGGCTTGCGAACAACAACGCAACAATGCCCCAACCTGGGAGGTAGTCTGCGAAAGTCAAAGCTGAAACTGGCTTCTTCATATCTGTATGCCATGTCATGGTCTGATCGCCGCGGCGCTTCTTTCAGTCTTGTCCAGCATGTGCAAAAGAGCACGAAAAGGTAATCGATGGACAGGTTGACGCAATACGAGACCAAGCCAACGGAGGTGGTGTAGAGCCATCATCTACATCCAACACACGACGACGGTACTGGTCATTGCTCACCCGATATTTTCACCAGACACCAGCAATGCGTCGGAGCTATCGGTGGTTGAATACAGTAAGTCGATTATCATCCTCAACGCAGAGAGACCTGGTCTAGCAAAGCAGAAAACTACGAACGGTGGGGACGCACAGCCTCCCCTTAAGGAACAAACGGGTGTCGTGGTGGCGCCGCTGGTTGGCAAAAGCTGTTTTGGTCTTTGCTATTCGTGATGTAATCTCCTCCCCAACACCAACACCAGCTAGGATTAAGCTCACGAAGTATTTAAAACACTCAACCACTTCCAGCTGATCACCATAGAGGGTGAATGCAGGTACAAGCTCCTGCCAGTGTTGAACAAACACTTTGCATTCGGATGGCGAGAAGCACATACTATCGCAAAGCAATTCAAAGCGTATTGGACTGCCTGTATGTTATCACCCAGCAAGGTGATTTCATCTGCATATTCTAAAACAGAGCCAGCAGTTCTGTTACAAGATTTAAACCGCCATCTTCAAATAGAACTGGGAAAAACAATATTTTATGAAGAACAGCATAGAAGTTCATTCTTTCTGATGAATAATTGCCGTTCCCTGACGGGAGTTATTCTGGTCAATACAGGCATTCTAAATGGCTCATCATTTTGTATTCAGTGCAGAAACATAAGTGGATACTATCACAGATATGTTACGTCTGACGTGGGGCCATATAATATTCAATCTCTTGAATGACGCTTGGAGCACTAGAAGTAGAAAAGAACATATCTGATGAAAGTCAAAGCCCTGAAAAAGTGTGATCCATACCTCTATTAATCGAATGCCTAATAAATTATTTCCTAGGTAATTTAAGCTTTCCATCGATTATTTCCCCACCGTCGATCGATCAGGTCTGAGGCACAAATGGGCGTACAACGCGGTCGTAATCTGTCCCCGTTTATCATCGTCAATCATTGATGACTCACATTTTGTCTCATCACTGCACCAAACCAACGCTCAGAGACTGATTGGCCGCAAACTACTACATCACATTCGTTTTCTCCCTTCTTTCATTTCTGTCAATGCGAATATGACGATTGGAATGCATGAATTGATTGGGGTGGATATATTCTCTCCCTCTCTCTCCGATTGTGTTTCTGTTTCTGTCTTGAATGAATGGTGCTGGATGTGTCCCCATCTGTTCATTCACTGGATTTCTGCCAGAGGATGCAATCATTATTCCTGATGGCGTCCGGGACTACGTTTACGCGGGAGTGGTTGGCGTCATATCAAAGTCACACACAGGATGTGTTCTGACCACGCTATGGTGTGTGTGCGCGTGTGTGATTGAAAATGATCTGCTAGCTGCTATCCGTGTTGGCTTGAGGCAGATCGCTTGAAGGGATCCGGAGACTTGCGGAATAAATCCACCCACCCCCACCTCACCCCAATTTTATTTTGGATAAAAAAGTACGGAATAATGTGACAAATGGGGCAAATGAATTTCGTTTCCCATGGCTCGACTGAAATCATGCTCCAAAAGAATAGATAGACTGTTACACCAAGTCATTGAGGTATGCTAAATTTGCAACAAATGAGCCCCAACTTGATGCACACGAGGGGTTTATCAAATCTCGAAGTTTGATTTACAACCTGGCAGTTCGTAAATTTAAACTCAGAATCACTACAATACACTCAGCAAATAATGCAATAATGTGTAATAGCTAAATACCCTGTATCGCGGTGTAGGACACAAATCAGAGTGAGACTCAAACACAGAAAGTGGTCCGATTTGGAGACACCACAAACATGTTCCACGTTAGATCATCCATAAACTGGCAAGTTGGTATTTGCAAAGAAACACCCATGGTGGAAATCAGTTGACGCTGATTGAAAATCATTTTCCTACATCTGCGCCAGTGCATACCTGAGAGAATGTGAACGGTTTATCACTCCAGTGTCACCCTGGTCTCAAGTATCATGATGCACATTTTTTATTGGTCAAAACAACACTGTTTTAGGCTGAAGGGGACATCAAATCAGCTGAAACCCGATTCGATTAAGCAATTTGACAACGTTTTGAGGCACATACGAATAAATCACCCAGGATAACCGACAGTAAAACATCGGCAATCATTTTA